CTTGTATTCAAACCAAGGACGAAACGTGAAATGCATCAAATTCAGCATTTGAAAATCAGTTTTAGCAAGGTTATTTGCGAATTTATTCAAAAAAGTGCAGAAACTTTTCCAGAGCAATTTTCAATGAAACGCAGCGCATATGTAGCTCCCAGATACGTATATTTGCTCTACATTTGAATTGAGTGGATGCCCAGGAACGGTCGCGATTATGCACTCAGATTCGCAATTTTTGCAGGCGTAAAGAAATACAACTTGGAGTGAAACTGTAAACTGACCTGTCGGAATCTGATCGAAGCCGAATTGCTTTTGCAATGACAAGTGGAAGCGATTTGACGTATAGAGATACAACTATTCGATGTTACTGTTTGTAGCGTTAGCTGTCTAGTGACGGTACTTTTTCTTTTTTGGTTGTGCCGCTTGATCCAGCTAAGTTAGGCATCACTATTATTATGAGTCATAAGTTGGCTATTATTATGAGTCATAAGTCGAGTCGTAAGCGTAAACAGTCTGGAAGCGGACGGGAGTGCCAAAATTATGACAGGACCTTCACAGGCATCCCATCGCCAGTTGACGTCGGATGGTCCCCCTGCGCTTTATTACAGAGTATGATCGTCGCCTCCCCGGTGTAAGTAGGGCGGAGCATTTGCACACATCTCAACAATTTGTTGAACTTGTCAAACCTCTGCTGCAAAGCAAGGTTTATTGTACTCTCTAAACTGCCACGTATGCTGTTGTCACACGTGGCACTTATTGATATCGAGAGATTACAAAGAACAATGCTTTGCAGCAGAGGATTGACAAGTTCACCAACATGCTCATATGTCGCAAATGCTCCGCCCAACGTACACCGGAGAGGCGACGATATCAATAAGTTGAACTTTTCTGTTTTTATGCTAAAAAAATCATGGGAACAAAATTAGTATTGTAAAAATAAGAGTAAAAGCTTTAACATATTAGGATGCTGCATAAGCTAAGTCAACTATTACATAAGTTAAGTCATAAGTCATATGCTCTGAAGCGAGGCCAAAAAGTGGCTTCTTTTTGGCTCGGTCAAAAAATCTCTCGGCATCGCAGACCCTATGGGCTCTTTTATGTTGCAAAGTAATCTACGAAGATTTCTCTATCTATCCATTGTTAAATAAGATGCCTATCAATCCAGCATTGCCATGTCAAAAAAGCCAGGTGAAAAAAAACGCTGTAAAGTTTTTAAGTTCTTGCTTCTTCCTTAACAAGGATTTTGCAGGTCTCACTATGTGATAGCCAAGGAACTGCTCAAAACATAGAAACTAAAATCGGAAAAAGTTGACTTGACGTTATTACATTTTGAACTCAAAAAAATTCGAACCGGACAGAACTTATGCAGCAGCCTAATATGAACTGAGGATTTTCCTTGCTTGTCATTCATTCTACTTTATGTTGCCTTTTCTGCTGTTTCACATACGACTAAATTTCCGTCGTTTTCAAGCCCACAGTGGTAAATTCGCAAAGAGTGCAGCGTGCACGAATGAAGAAAGCTTGCACTAAATGTGATAGTTGTCATTTCTGCTGTGCTTTGTTCAATCAATTCATTTCAAAGTACATTTTTTTATGAATGAATAGAATATGAAAGAGTGAAAGCACTTGCTGTAGGAACTGAACTCGCTTCCCGTTTACTGAGTCAAATTTTAGGTTTGTGCCTTCTGGTTCGGAAGAAAACGCTCATACATTTTCAATGGTCAGTCAAAAAAATTCGGGCATTTACAAGCAGTTTCCAAATACGACAAGAGGTCATCTTTCAATTAACCTCTCCTAGTTTCTATTTAGTAGGATTTTTGTCAAATTTAGGAGGCTCACAGTGGTTCTAATATCACCCTTATTTTGCTCTCGAACAGGAAGTTTTGTTTCGAGACTCTTTGTATATTCGCGATGAAGTTGAATGGAATGTCAACAGCTACATATAAAAAAATATATGTGGTACCATTAACTTCTGAAAAACCTAGAAAAGTGTGCTCGAACTAGTCGATTGTAGTGTGGTGTCTTAGAGTGAAGACAATCATTTTTTGGGGAGTTTGAAAAATATTGATTTTTGCAACTTGTTGCTTGGCGCCTTTCTTTGAGAAAAAAGTTTTTTAAGCACTTTTCCTGTAAAAAAAGCATCACTAGCAGATTTCTGAGTCAAAGAACTTCTCGATCCCTGAAAGCGTACCACCTGACCCAGTTTTGCAAATTAAAAGTAGTGTGGACTTTGATGTCAGCGCTAAAAAGGCTGCATATGATCCGTTTATAATCATGTACACTGAACTCGCATGCTATTAGCCTATGTTTTGCAAAGTGCTCTGCGATTTTCGTGCCAGAAGCATTCAAAAACCATACTGCCTCAGCAAGATATTATAGTATGGGTGGCTGGAGAGTAATGGGACAGTTTGAGACTAATTGCAGCTTTTTCAAAAAGAAAACTTACTAGACGCTCAAACTGTGGTAGGTCTTAGAACATATCATTCTCGTTCAAGTGAAAACTGAATAAGGTCAGTATCCTACTATAATAACGCGCTAAGGCCGTCTGTTTTTTGTGTGTGTGTCTGTCTGTAAATCTGTCTGTCATGAAATTCATAGAGTAAGCTGCAACTAAGCTATCGGGCTGCAATTTTGCACAACATACCGTGCCAGCGTGTAGGCTCACCATGCACAAAGACGAACCAATTCGATAAGCGGGTCCTTCGAAAATTGCGCCTCAAGCGGGTCCACCTGGCTTTTGCTGCGCAAAACTAGGTCACAATTTCAACTTTTTGCAAAGTCCTGATTTGCCTGACAAGCAAATCTGCGCTCCAAGAATTCCAGCTCAAAAAGTGCTCTAAATGTTTGCTTTTCCGCGAAAACAGCGCCAAAAAGTAGTGATCGCGTAGAGAGTCGATTTGACAAGGTTTTACATAAATATCTGAAAAGATTTTTGCATGAAAATGTAGCCCAAAATGACTATTATCTTTATAACAATTATCAAGCCAAAATAAATTCAATAATCTGTTCGAAGTCGTATTTATTCCTTGGCAAAAAAGTTTTCTTTCTCAAAATTACCGATCTTACATGGAGATGCTTCAAGAATGAACAGTTGTTTACAATTCATTTATGATGTACAGCCTCGCGCGGTGAGTTTCAAAGTCATCATTTTGGGAGCATGAATAAGGCATACGGATAACAGAGCCGTGCGAACCTCCGCGAAGCGGAGGTGACGCACTGGTGGTTTCTATAACTGCCTACACGCGAAGTTGTACTCATTTTGGGCAATCATGAACATTAAGCAGTAAGCTCACAGGAAAAAAAGTGTGGCCACGTAGCAACGCTGCACTGGAAGAAGGACTGCCATCAAACTCAAGACAGCTTACAAGGGAACCATTTGTATAAAAATGGCTTTTTTGGGATGTACACTATATTGAGAATGCTAATTCCAAATCTGCCTTTATCATCTGCGGAGTTAATAGACGAGGGGTTATGAGCGTTTATTGGAGGAAAAAATTGAATGTGCAAGTAGGACGAAAATATTCGTGATATTTTTTCTAGCGGTTAACGGGGCAGTGATAATTATCAGAGCACTTTATTTATAAATATCTTATAGTAAAAGATATATCACACCTGGTTGTTTCGTTTGAGAGCTAGTAAGATTTCAGCACTTTCAATTTTTTGCTCCAGTAAACGCTCATAATTCCTCGTCCACAAACTTTCCGCAGATGAGGAAGGCAGAATTAAAGCAGCATTTTATGCCCTTCGTTATGGTGTACATCCTTTCGGAGAAGACAACTTTAATCGAACATGGCTCCTTTGTTAATAGTACCAGGGTTTGAGTCAGGAGCGAATTTTTTTTCTTTGCATATGAACTCAAGTTTATGGTTGAATCAGAGCTTTTGAGCTTTATGAGCCTGTTGCAGTTCATCTCAAATTTTTTCTATCATTAAAATTAAATACTGAAACTGATTCTTTAGGTTCCCATAACTCCAAACAAAATTTTCTCCTTCTAAAAGGAATTTCCGCTTTTATAATAATTATAATCATTTATAAAACCATGAAGAGCTCTTTCAAATGGTATGCCACCCGCTTACTGCTTTGCTGTAAAGCAGTGCCACGAGAATAAATACATGCCCCATGAGCTTGGTCCGCCTTCTTCGAAATGCCACTCAAAACATTGTGGGGAACTGGCGGTAGCGGTTACCAGAATTATGCGTAAGCCACTTGTAATCGATTTGGTCACTTGTTTCTTTCCGCTTAGTTCACTGAGGATCGAAACAAACAGTTTCAAAAATGTAGGAAAGTCAAGATCCATTGCTTCTTGACCATCCTAAAGAGGATGATTTCACCGGCAATACTGCATTGTGAAAACGACCCATATCGTTGTTGTGCGAACATATGAGGTATCTAAATCTCAACACAGTGTGCAATGGATAGACATTCGAACTTATGCATGTCGTCGATAAAGGAACCTATCAAATTTTTCATCAACAAGTGAATTATTTAGAAGAGAAAATTGATTTACTTTAAGTTTGTTGAATATTAACAAATATATCAGAAGTTCATATGCCTTTCATATTCTTCCGCAGCATATTTTCTGTAACAGGTTACAAATGAGATAGTTCACAAGCATTAAATAAACTAAAAGGATGACAGACTCGATCAAATTTCAATTAATCAACAATTTTCTCACTGCGGTTGCATGTCTGTTGTCCACCGCAGTTTTTCCAGACCTTTCGTTTGAGTATTGGATGCTAAAGATAGTTGCAACATCAGAAACAAATACAAAATTAAATGCTTCTGTGCAGAAAACGGTTAACAAAGTGCATTCAAAATGCATTCTGTAGCCAAACAATACTAATCAAGATTACTGCTTCGTTAGTGCTTTGCTAGTGCATCATAAATTTTCTGTTCATGTATTTTGATATTCTCATTTGCAAATAGTGCTTCAGTCCCTTGCTCTTTCAAACTCATTAAAAAGGATTGTCTTATAAAGAGTGCTGCAAAAGTTGGATAAATTCAAAATGTCTCTTCTAGCTGAAGGTGAGATTACCTTTTTAGATTCATTATATATAGTGGTAATGCAATCATCAATCAAAAATTTAGAAATGAAGGTGCTAGTTTTTCTCGCCATGCTATGTGCAACAACTTACAGTGCCTGCAACTGTGCACGTCAGCAGGCACTTCCGTTGAAAAAAAGATATTGCGATTCTACACACTCTAGTAAGTTGAAAAGAACCGTTGTCTCACAAAAAGGCTCTGTGAAAGAGCAAAAAAATATGAATGATAGGCCGGTTATGAAGCTCCCTACATTTTCTGCTTTCATCATTGTGTTTTACGGTAGTAGGAAAGTAATGAGTAGCGTTTTTCTACATTTTCAAACTTTTTCGACAAACAACGAATGAAGGCTCCGTCACCCAAAATAGACACAAAATCTTGCGCCTTCTCAAAGAGCAAAGACCTACATCGCTTAAGTAGGCTTGATAAAACGATAGGTGATTGCGATTCAGCTTGGACGACTATGGTTCGAGGCCGGCTAGTGGTGGATATTTGCGCCGAGCAATCTTTGATAGCGGCCACTATCGGAAAAAAATCGATGATGGCCGCTATCAAGGGATCCACCTAGCAAATATTTGTATAAAACTAAGATTTTTAGTGAGAGTTTATCAGAAATTGAGAATGTTGTGACATAAAACCTATAAGATAAATAAAGAAATTTTCTTTTGAGCAGCTCTTTGAAAAAAGACCAAGTAAACTTTGTAAAAAGGAGATATCGTGCAGTTTTGCGCGTTCTTGTATCGCAACAATACATCAACTAAATTGTCTCGTAAGTCATTCATGGTCAACTTACGGGAGATTTGTTTGATCCTCCTCTTTAGCACACGTCTCCCTTGGTTCGCCCTAAGATCTATCTACCTTCAGCGTAGTGGCATTTCGTTGAACTGACCGTGACACTTGACCGGACGGTCTTCTGGCTGTTAAACTGACCATCAGTACGGAAACTTGTGTGGTCTTAGGTTTGAAAGCAGCGTCCATCCAAAATCCACCTCACCCAGATTAGCATGTAATTGTCAAAAAAGCCCCAAGAGTAATCGAACTGCGTTGGTCCGATCCTTTGAGGGCCTGTGATACATTTTACAAACCTCCCCATGAAGACGACTGCTCACGCATTGATCGATAATGGAGTGCAACTGCACCCTTGCAGCTGCAGCTCCTTCCCGCTGGTAAGCTGAGGGGATGAACAATCCGAAACTCGTCCGCACCCTTAAAACAATAAATGTACCCCAGGAGTTTTTGAAAAAGTTTTGATAACCAGCAAGTAGAGCAAGCCCTTTGCAAACCAATGCAATTTTTTGTTTCACCAGCTTTTCTAATCTCAAATTTATTGGTGTATATATGTATTGTATATATTTCAATGTATCGTACATTTGGTCTATTAAGAAAAGCATGAGTAATTGAGTAGTTCAGGAGCCATTCAATGCAGCTTCTTCTCTTTTTTCTGAAGCCTATTTTTTGCAATACATGCATAATTTGCAGAAATAATTTTCGTTTCAATTTTACGAAGTGAAGCGTTAAATTGTCGTTGCAAGAATACAGTCTCTTGATACTGGCATGTCCCCTCACATATACTTTTCTAGACAAATCAGCGGTAATTTTCGCTCTTTCGCCATTACAATGTGCTTGCGCTCTTATCTTTACCTTATGAGTTTCCTCAATGTGAAGACTTCATAGGTAGTTTGCAAAACTTCGACAAGTTCTGCACCACTTATAAAGTCTTTTCTTCAGCTACGTATAAGTCTTCTTATGTATTTCATGTTTTTGCTTTTCTAATTACGGAGAACAGAGCCACAGTAGTGTAAGCAACAATAGTCATCTCTTATAGGACATATAGAGCACAATATGTAGGATAACTGTTGGTTAATTCAACACCATTTATAATTCTTAAACATTCTTAAACATCATTCTTAAACACTGATTAACCTTTATAAGTTTTTCTCATTTATTTCAATCAGGCATTTGCTGATTGCTAATTCAGTTGTTCGAGCCCGTATAATATCAAAAAGTAAGACTTTGAAACGACCCATTACACCAGGTGGTGCTGCGATCCAATACTATGGTGTGTCAATCAAAAGAGTTATGAAGGTGTGCAACAAGTTTTGCTAATTTTCAATATCTGATAATGAGAGTGCTAGCTTAGGGTATGGATATCACAAAGGTTCGTCACATCTACGCGCATGCTGACTGCGGTGTGAACCTTGAAGTGGGTGCAGCGTATATGCTTGAAGGTAAGCGTTTCCATCAATCAGTCAAATCCACAAAATGTAGTGCATGAATCTGTAGTCCAGTGAGCCTCTTTCAGTTGAAGAGATGTTTTACGGGTTTCTACATACCCCTTGTGGAATAGCTGAGTTTTGGAATAACACGAAATGGTTGAGGGATCATATTAAAAGGCACAAGAATGACCCGAGAATCAACTGTAAATGAGGCTGTTTTACAAATCATGTCTTGATGATATGTTGTTGTTATTATTCTGCGGTGCTACGAAATAAATTCTATAATTTTTTTAACCGATCAGGTCAAAATTGGTATGTCGCGCGCTCTCAGCGCCAAAGTATTCTTACCTGTCTTATGGCAGAATTTAAATGTTACTTGCTTATTTTCTTCCATCTTTTCTATTATCTTGTCTTAAAAAATCAAGCTGTTTCTTTCTCTAGCATACCTAGGGTATCAATCGATAGAGTGAAAGGATACGAAATGACCACTAAAGAACCGCCTAAGTCACAGTCCAGGTAAGATTTAAAGTAAAGCCAATATTCAGATCTTTTCAACTATTTCAAAATTGAATCTCCTTCCTAGAAATTCCTACGGACCTCCAACCTGGTCATTATACAGCAGGCACATAGTAGTGTCCAAAAATGTAATTGGTGGATTTTTTTTTCTGGGCTCAAAATTGAGAGAATATGATGGCCCGAAACTTATAAATGTCATTTTTCCTGGTTTTTTATGTGAAACTTGGTATATCTCGATTACCAGGGCACCTACACGGTGAAATTCTGAGATTATACTTATTAATTAATTAATACAATGGCATACGTGGGAGGGACTGGGGCGGAATGCCATTTTTGGATTTTCTAACATTCTTGCAGGAAAAAAATCCAGTAAAGGTGTTTGAGTACTAATATGGTTTATTGTATAATGACCAATTTCGAGGTCCGTAGGATTTTTTTTTCGCAAAATTCAATTTTCAGAAAAAACAATTTTCGATTTTGGCTCCAAACTTTACATCGATTACGACTTACTAGGCGAATCTTTAGAGGTCGTTCTGTAGAGATTGCTTCAATTTATTCATTTATTCTGACCATTGCTAAGCTAAGGATATCATGATGGAGAAAGCAAAATGCTATCGCAAACACATTTCATGCGCCTGATTAGATCTCAATCGTCTCGATCTCAATCAGCTATAGTTTTTTCCTAGTCGCCTTCAAACTACGAGCACGCTCTGCATCGTCCATGCACCACGCTTGCCGACATCTCTCAGTGGCGTCTTGTCAGTCCAAAACAGTTGATTTTAAAATGGACAGAGCAAATGCAATTATTCACTTTCCTCTCTTTTTAAGCCAATCAGCAAAAACTTGCATACTGATAGATATCGCAATCCAGTCAAATGCGGCGTCCTTTGAAGTGGCGAAAAATGCATCGTCAAATTGCTAAAGCTTACAAGGGAAGCGTGTATAGTCGATGTGGCCTTCTCAGATGAGACCCATACTGCTTTAAAGAGCATTGCACAGTGATTCTAAATCTGCCTTCAATATCTGCCAAGCGCCTCTGGACGCCGAGTTATGGGCGTTTTTCTGGTCGAAAAATTGAACGCAAAACTGGAGCAAAATCGCCCAAATTTGTTTAATTTTTATGTGTCGAGATCAGAGCAGTTTAAGTAATGGATACATTTTGTCTAATATTCTAATACTTAATATTGCTGTATCTGAGCGCTAGAAAGAATTGTAACAATTGTTTTTACCTAAATTCTGCATTCATTTTTCGTTCCAAAAACGGTCATAACTCGATGTCCAGAGGCGCTTGGCACATAATGGAGGTAGATTTGGAATCAGCGTTTGATGCTCTACAAAGTGGTATGAGTCTCATTTGGAAACGCCACTTCGACTAAACACGCTTCCCTTAGAAGAAAGGCAAACTATTAACCTAGTAAAAGAATTTCTTGAGATAATGTCATCAAAAGGAAACATTTATTCGCATTCCGGTTTCGGGGCTAAGAACTATACCGGTCATGCGACTTCTTTGGTGCCCCTCATCAGTAGTTCCCAAGGAAGTGTAAAAGATAAATAAAATAGAATGTATTAAAATATATTCAAACCCAGTAGATCTTAGTGGCATGAGAAGAAGATATGCTCAAGGGCCATGGCAACTACCAAGTTTTGGCGCCGACAAATGCCGCGCTCTCATTAGTCCATGTTATCAGTCCATGTTTTTCGCAACTCATGCATAAGTGGGAGATGCACACTAGTAATAAAACCGTATTTAAGTGAAGATGGTACATAGTATTAAATATGGCTCTATATAAAATATTGAGACTCCAACCATTGCACATAGGGGTTCTAACCAATTCTAAAACTCTACGTCTGAAGTCTATATACTTAGAACTATTTCTGTATATTCTTGAGACCTCAGAAGTAAGCGTATTGAATAATATGTAGCGAGGTATAGGACTTCCAGTTTGGATATCTAGTTACTCTAAAGTTATCATCATCTGTCTTATTGTATAGACTAAAACTGACGATTTTGTTATCAATAGTTATAAGATCCAAATTAGTCACTCCAACACTATTGGATGTAGTTTCCATATCCAAAGTGGGATGGTATATTTCTTTAAGGCTATCTATAAAATGAGATGCATTGGATGAAATATGTAGTATGTCATCTATAGATCTGTAAGTATGTTGATACAAAAATGCATTCTTCCTCTCCACTATCTGTCTTCTAATGAAAGTATATTCCATGTAAGCTAGCGTAAGATCTGCCATTTGTAGACTACAAGATGCTCCTTGTGGAATTCCTTTAATCTGTTTATATATTCTTCCACCAAAGTATAAATAACTGGCATTCAAAATTGAGTCTATCATGTAAACTATGTCCTCTATCTGGTAGTACCTGCCTTTTGCTCTATCTTCATTTGTATATGACATTCTAGATTGATACAACCTCAAATATTTAAATCCCCTCATGCAAATAGTAATTAGTTTTTTCTATTCCTAACTACATTATGTGGCAGACTAGTAAATAGGCTAGAGAAGTCTGCAGAATATACCTCCAGATTCCCTTTAAGACTTCCCACTTCTTCCACTACCTGTTTACTGTTTTCTATCGATGTTAGATTGTTAGATGCTGATTTGTTAGACTTGTTAGATTTGGTTGGCCTAAGAGGTTTTCTACATATTACCATTGAAATGGTACCATACTCAATAATAGAATGTGTAACTGCTCTTCTGTTATATTAAGTACTAGCTGTCGTACCCGGCCTTGCCCGGGATAACATCACTTAGGGTTCACTGTCTTTGGATATATGTGACGCTCAAAGCAGTAGTGTATCATTGAAGTTTGTTTGCAAAAATAAAAATAAAATGTGTACACTTTTACTCAACAGCATTGTCTCTCTTCTTTTTGAAACATGGAAGACGTGAAAAAACTTGAAGAGCAAGCATTGCGATATAGGTGGAAGAACGTTCGAATAATGTAGCGCCCATTGCTATCCTGAGAATCATTTTTCCTAGTATTAGGTTGTCCGGGAATCAATGCCCGTTTTGAAGTTCGGCCGCAAAAAGTCATACACTTCTTACTTCTAAATGGCTTGCAAAGTACCATTCGATAAGACAAAGCAAGCTTTACAAGACGGCCATCTTGCTTTTGCAACAGCTCTCATCCACCTCGAGTTTCGAGCCAAAAACTAAGACTCAGCAGCCCGAAAAATCGAAAAAAAATCGTAACTCAGTTCATAGAAATCCTACAAAGATTCTACCTTGCTAACGTAAACACAATCCACATAAAACATCTATGTACGCCTTTGCCATATTTCTTTCTCTGTTAGAAATCAAGAAAACGGAAATTTTCGTGTATTTGCCAAAGTGATGCTGTGCCGTCCCCACATAGGTAGTTGTGTACCACAAGCCTGTAGAAGTACAGACTTAAATTTTCAACTCTCTACAAGCTTTAGTTCCCGAAAAATACCAAATGAAGCTTTTCCTAGCTAGGTGGCCCAAGCTAAATTTCAAATTTCTCGAGAACTAAAACTTGTAGAGAGCTGAGAATTTACGTTTGTACTTCTACAGGTTTGTATACAACTACCTATGTGGGGACGGCACAGCATCACTTTGGCAAATGCACGAAAATCTCCGTTTTCCCAATTTCTAACAGAGGAAAAAATATGGCAAAGGCGTATATAGATGTTTTATGTGGATTGTGTTTACGTGAGCAAGTTAGAATTTTTGTAGGATTTTTACGAACTGAGTTACGATTTTTCTCAAATTTTCGGGCAGTTGAATCTTTTTAGTTTTTGGCTCAAAACTCGTGGTAGATCAGAGCTGCTGCTAAAGCAAAATTGCCATCTTGTAGAGCTTGCTTTGCTCTATCGAATGGTACTTTGCAACCCATTCAAAAATGAGAAGTGTACGACTTATTGCTGTTGAAATTCAAAACGGGCATTAATTTCCGGACAACCTAATACTTCGCCGCTAATCGGTTATTCTGTTTTAACTCCCGCACTCTACCCTCCTCTCCCATACTACGACAAAAGTAAGTGCTTCTTTGACTGTCCTTGCTTTAGAGAGCGAATACCTTTATAGCCAAAGCAACAGCCATTCTACCACGTTAAAGATATGTAATCCACAACTTGTGAGCCATTTGGATAACGTATTAATGAAAAAACTCAAGGACTTCAGTCAATAAACAAAATTATGATGTAAGCTTTCAGATTGAGAGTCACGCTCATGCGGCTGGAATTCATGTCGGAGGTTCCAACGCTAGAGTGTGGCACGCAATTTGAGACAACTTGTAACTTAGCGATTGGCTCACATCTGCATCAAAAAAAGGCCTTGACTTGCGTTAACAACACTACTACCTCGCACCGCAAAAGATGCATCTCGCAGTTTTAGACAGAATATATAGGATCTACATCTGAACGCTTTCGACCTTGCTTTGATGACGAAAGTTCACAATGGATCATGCTGCTCTTGTTTACATAAGTGTAGGAATGGTTCGGCAATAGCTGCTGATAAGCTTCATTCCCTTATTGAGAGTGCAACAAATCAATAAATCGATAGAAGGACCCAGCGAATTGTCGAAAAAAGTAGCCTATCTTTTGCGCCGTGGCTTGTTTATAGGGAAACAAAATTCAGCCTCTTTGGTTCACATACAAAGGAGTCTATAAGCCACAAACATCCTAACAAACACGGTACAGTGTTTGAGTTTTATATATATATATACCAGATACCAGTGCTTCACCTCTGCTTCGCAGAGGTTCGCACTGGCATCGTGAACCGTGGTAAACTCACTTTATGAGAGCTTGTCTCTCAAATCATTGTTCGGTTTATTGCAACGTGAGCTGTAGTTAAAAATGAACCATACTCGCTATCTTAACCTCACATGATGTTTAGTATCGTAAATCATTCCTCGCTGTAATTTCGTAACGGACAAACTCCACACAACTTCAGATTAAGCCGCTTATTATAAGTCATGATAGATTCAAAATACGTTTTTCCGCCTTTTTATAGTTATGTTGGTTGAATAAGGGTTTCCTTACTGCTGACGTCAAAGGGACTTCGAAATTCGCCAAATTATGAGGAACTTCGTTTCCAAACTGCTCTAGGCGAGCGCTGCCGAGCTCTGATTTGTGCCTTGGTTGGACCGGAGAAGGTAGCTAGCGGTTCACAAAATCTATACTCTTTTTCTTAATTTGCGCTAGGAATGGCTCAATGGCTACTGACGTTTTTCCGTTTCAAAACAAAAAGATTCAAAATTATAAAGTCATTTACATCGTATGTTTGGTTCTCGCTGCAGCCGAAAGGCACAATACGTCCAGCACGAAACAAAAACTATTACAATTTTATTAACTCTCACTCGCACATATACACAAACTGAGGTTTTCCACAGTATGGTCCCACAGACAATGCTTGATTTTGATTAGTTTGAAAATTGATTAGCTCTTCAAATTTATAATTGTTGTCCTGCGGCGCCGGCACCCGGTGATGGAAATGAACCTTGTTCATCGCCAGGATCTCCCGTCTCTTCATGTTTCTGTTCCATCTCACGACGAACTTTCTCAAACTCCTGTGGTTTCAACTGCACGAATGATAACTCAAGGGATGCATCTATCTGGAATATTGCTTTTTTAAATTACATATAAATGATGAAGCTATCTTGCCTTAACTACAGCGGCATAGTTAACAAGTTCTTCGTGATATCGTGCTGCTGAGAATACGGTTATCAAAGAACGACCGCAAAAGAATGCGTAGCCAAACTCAACAACCTGAATGGAAGTTTGATTGACATGATTATAGGAAAAAGGACAAGAAATTTCGTAGCCTTAATAGCTCAGGAAGATGATTGCAAGGGACATAGTAACGCCACAGCATTAAACCACCTACCCTCCCTTTACAAACCTTCGAATGTTTGTTGAATGCTCTAGATTTATAAGGGTGAAAATTTGGTGAAATGTGAGCCATTTTATATGTTGCTGCTCACTGACTGAAGTCTACAAAGATTAGAAAAATCATATTAAAGCTAATACATGCATGTTTGTTTTTCAAATCGCCAGAAGGAGAAGCAACATGATGAGCTATGCCAGACTACAGATACAAATGGACCTGATGTGCTCGAATCACTAGATCAATGTTGAGCTGCTTGCACTTGTCCCGGACCGTCTCTTCGCCAAATATATGGGAAACGGCGCGGATTTTATTTTGCTAAAACTGCCATTTTTTCCACAAAAAACCGAAACTAATATATACTTGAAATCCTTTGGTGCCCGTCTCGGGATCTGCCCATAACAGATCTTGTGCCAAACCACGTACTATTCTTAGCGGTCGCTTTAGTTTCCGTATATCATCAAGGCTATTCAGATTAGGGGAAAGTCCTAAATATTACCATTTCGGGTGCATTAGACAAAAACTAGCAGCTGTGTGGGCATTTGTCACCTCCATGCATGCAGAGAATTCGACCAGCGACAAGAGCGGCCAAAGGCATTTGAGCAAACACTTCATTGAAATGATCATAGAGAGCTTTAGATTCCGCCAGATTACGATAACGTTGACGAATCTCCGCATTGAAACCATAGACTCTGCAAAATTACACAGTCTTCGCGGGGAAAGCTGAAAGGTACAGAAAGAACCTGTTGATATTAGATAGTTCATGATTCCCACGTAGCAGATATACTTTTCTCGGAAATTGTATTCGCAAAGCCAAAAGAAGCATGATCACTTCTAACGAGTGGCGCCCTCGATCCACATAATCGCCGAGAAATAGATAACGATGTTTGAATGGCAATCCACAGGCCTGTGATGTTGAGCTCTCGTTCGTAGATGTTTTATCTAGTGCTCACATTAAAAATCCGCATAAGATCGCCGTACTGTCCATGAATGTCGCCACAAATGTTTACCGGGCAACGCACTTCTAGTAAAATTGGTGAGTTTTTCATTGCATCCATTGCTTTTTCTAGGATCAAATGTATTTCAAACACCTGGAAGATGAAGATCAGTTTTATCTGTAGGATGGAATGCATTGTTGCACTTCGTAATTTTGTCGTGCTGCACCAGCTATAAAATGTTTTTTGATAAATTCCTTCATATTAAAACCGGCACGCTCCTTATCCGTAATGGTGTAATCTATTTTAATGAATGGTATTGCATTTACTTGTGCTGCTAGCGCATTGGCAGCAGCGATAGCTGCTGGATCTTTTCTCTGAAATATTTGTTATGTAGAAGATACACCACAGTACACTAATACTTACTTGTTCAGCACTACCTGCAGCTGATGTATCTACTGTTGGCTTAGTGAAATCTGACGATTTACTTGTCGATGCAGGCTCCTGAATACAAATGCATAGCAACATAACGACTTCCAGCACTTTAAACACATAAACATGATGCGCAGCTCGGGGAGTTCAATGGCTGAAAAACTATACCAAGCCCAAGGGTAGCGACATAGCCGACAGTCGAATGCGATTGAGTGTTGGGAGCAAGTAGAGCAGCGATTGCAAACCGCCGCTATATTTGAAAGCGATGATTGCCGTCGCATTGGCCGTGCTTACTTTATCTGCAACCGTCCAATCCGTTTGTAATCCGGATTTCTTCCTTGTCCTGAAGAAAAAAAATTGAGGTTCTTGGTCGGGATCCTTTCCTTTCAAATGCAGGAAATTGGAAGCGACGCAAGCTTCTTGTCACGTGGTATCCTTCGGCTTTAGGGATATTGGGATAGCGTAACGTACTTCCATGAACTGTACTAGTAGCACTTAGACCCCCAGGAGTTAAGAAGGTGTCTTTGCGACGACTTTCTCTGCAATCAAATGGACGCCGTAATCCCGTCTTTGTTTCGTAACTGCAGTCGGGATTGTGATAACAGCAATATTCAAACCTTCAGACTTGGTCTTCCTTCAGGTGCTTTCAACATGTGCACAAACTTCCGGAAATCCTTCTACAAAGCCGTTTTGCACTCAACTTTTTTAAAGATCGCTTAAATGGATTCGGACTCTGCTTCGAGGTTTTCTTCTTTCAAAGAATGTTATTGATGGTCTTTATAGTACATGCTAAATTCGTCTTCGAGTTGCATCCTTCGCAAGTCATTCAGTCCTCAAACGGTGGTCGTGGTTGCTCTCTGGGTCCTCCTCGATGGCACAGCCACAATGAGCTCTTCCAAACAATCATGAATAACTCTCTTCTTCTTGCGACATTAAAGCAGAACTTCTTTTTCGCGTCAACTAATTTGTACTTTTGTCTCAAAAGAAGCGATGTACCGCAGAAAGACTGAATCACTGAGCACATCTATTAGGAGACTCAATTTTGATTTTGCTGTCCTAGTCGTTGTTGGAAAACAAGCGATAATATTAGGTCTTCTGACGTGGAAAGCGTAATGTAGGATGGTCACTCAATGTAATAAGATCTCATGTGAAGCACAAGGAGGTAGATTGAGGTAAAAACCTCCAACAATTCTACCGTTTCATGATAACACTTTTTCAGCACAAATGGTGAGAGTCATCATTCAAATGTCGTGTGCTCTGCAGCGTCGAAAAGAGCGTGGAGGTTGGCGTTCCTTTTTTTTCGGAGACCTTTATGGTGTTGGGGATGCAGAGAACGAAATAGTCCCCGTGTCTCTCCGATTCGAATGACCTTGAGCAACTTCTCAGAAAATCGCCGGGGCAAGCGGTCTGCAAACTCGCGCTTTTCTGCACGTGGTCAGCAGAATTTTGGGGCGTGGCCAAACCTTCACCAGGCGGCACTTCTTTTACGGTCGAATATTCTGCCAGCTGGCAGCAGTACAGCATTTTTTACAAGCGCTCGGCAAGTAGTTTCTTTCAGCGAGCGCTGGCCAAACTTTCAGCAAGCGCTCGGACTCTTTTTACACAGATTCGGGCGTAAGCCGAGTTAAGGTGAGACTCTATGTGGCAGAGGTGTCATCGATGGTGTAATCACTCAAGTTTGGAATACCTTCTTTCAGCGGAAGGCACCCTGGGCAGTGCGGTCCTTCACAAAGGACCGTGCGGTCCCCAACAATTTTGCATATTCTCGCGGAAAATCCGCGAGAATGCGGCCACTGAGCCGCAACTTATCCATAGAAAGACTTCGATAGTTCTCCGAGCATTCGTACAAAAATCCGCCAAAAGTTCTCCAAATTTCTGCAAGCAGATCGCAAGAAATCAGCGAACTACTTTTTCGGTGCCCGCTTGCTCAAAATTCCGCATGGCCGCCTGCCCCTGCGATGATCTGAGTTGGTATCGGTCTTGTTACCTCCTGCCTCATGAGAATCTGCTGTGAAGGGCATGGCATCTCTTGCTGAACGAGTTTCAAATTTTTCGATAGTGGCTCGGGCCTCTAGCCTCTACAGGTATGCGGGCCGACGCTTGTAACGAGAAATCCCCGATGCTTGCGAGTACCCGAATGGCAAGGAATCTGGCCGGATTGGCTTTTAGCCAGTATCCTACGAAGTCAACGGGCGGAAGCGCCGAGTTCCTTCACATATTCAACACAATCAACATAAACTTCTCCCATGCCAAAGGCAGATTATAGTGAAAGTATTGCAATAGCAGTTTCCCAAATACTTAAGATGCCTCTTTAAAAAATCAACAATGTCGGGGTCAAAATGGCCGACGCCTTTGAAACCGCAAATCACGGCGGGTTTTGAAACGCTTTATTCCGCTGCTCTGCCTCTAGCACCAGCGCAAGATCAGCCCACTAAATTGCTAAAAAAAGGTTCGTCACCGAGTCAAGCCGGTAGCTATGGTACTAACGGTCTTGATTTACTAGGGGATTCCAACTTTGTTGTCATTCTCATGGTGAACTGCAGAAGCGAAATCGTTGTGAACATCCAGAAAGCGGACAGTGGATCTTCATGTAAGCTATGCTAAAGTCACAAAAATTTGACGGACGGCGTGATTTGAGTTAGGACATCTGGGGCGGTATGCTCAATCTCCCGTTTCGAAAACGGGTGATCGTTTAATAGAAAATGATCGCCCGGCAGGGTTGGCCGCCCGATCCGTGATGTATGAAGCTCGTGGGCGGCCAACCCAGCTGGGTGATCATTTTCTATTGAAACGATCACCCGCTTTCAAAACGAGAGATTGATGCATACCGCCCCTGAGGATGTTATGACATTACACACAAGACAGTGCGGAGACAAGTGTGCCGTTGTTACACATAGTGCAATCGTTCTACACTGCTCGCATATCATGAGGGACATATCTAGGACCTTGGTCTTGTGACCTGAAACTATTTTTACCTGGGCAGACATATAAAACAAACAAGCGAACGCACGGTCTGACATCCTGTCTTGCAAAGCAACTTTGGCTTTCCGATGCAAAGGAGCACAAGTTCATCAAGAGGTCATCCCTTTTTCAAACACAACTCTTGCGGCAGAGACGATGCTTGAGAGCTCAAGAAACGAGGGAAGAAGATTATTTAGCGAACAATTTTAAAGAAGACCCATCTTCATAAAACTCCTCTGTGAAGATGTGGGAGTGCAATTAGAAGGTGCCCTCATCAGGATCTTTACATATATCTTTGACAATCGATGAACAGGGAGGACGATGAAATTAGGAGGAAAAGCATTCTGGGCTGCTTGGGCTTCTGGAGAAACAAAACACCGACCAGTTCCACACCGCTGCGAGCCCATCTGTTTGATTCGACCGTTCTCGTCTTATGCAGCTGAAACCTGGGCAGATACCGCAGCTACGTTGAAAGCTTTGCGGATGACCAACAGAGCGCTTGTGCGCAGTCTTTCGAAGATTACTCTACACAAGCAATATGTTGTCGGACTTCGCCTTACGGATATGAGAAGAATGTCCCGTCTTCGTGACTCAGCAGAACAACGTTGCAAAAGCGAAGCATCGACAGTTTCGTAACATCATAAGAACAGACGACAAGTGGACGTCAACATTGAGTGGGCATGTAACTATTTGTCCTCCTACATGAGTTTGTAATGTGTGCAGGAAAGTACTGAGCGGTTACAAAGAGGAATCGGGATCAGCATTTCGAAGTGGTCATGATGGTATACGTCTCGTTGTGGAACGTTGCTGAGTTTATCATTCTCTGGTCAGCTTTGTCCATAGTTGTGATAGAAAACGAGGCTCATCTCAATACGACTGTTAAAAAACGCAAACATGGCTTTGTCAGCTCCCCCGTTCTAACCTAGCACTCCACTGAATTTGTTCCGCTCAGCCTTAGCGCCTAATTATTGTGAACAGATAGCAGCTTTCTATAGTGCTGAAAAAGAACGCACTTCTAAGGTGTCGCCTGGCTTTGCAGGAGTCTTCTCATTCGGTTTTTGGACGTCGTTCGCACTGTCCTTCGCTTTCTCTTTTCGCTTTACTTCCGACTCACCTTGAGTCACAGCCACATCTTTCTGCTTTGAGCCATTACCTTCTGAAATAGCAAAGCTTGCATTTTACTACGTTAAGCAGCCAGTTAGGCAATACTTTTGAGTGACGCTTTTGCTTTGAGAGATCCAGGCTTTGGGGATGTCGTCGGTCTAATTGACGGCTGCTTTGCAGCAGTGCTCGCAGGCATCTATGAATGAACCATCTGAGCTGAGTATGACGAAGTCAGGACCATCACGTCGGTAAACCAACCGAGTAACGTCAGTAACTGTAATGAAAGTACTGATGTGGTCCTACGCAGCTTATTTATAGTGTTCTTGTTTACAGCAACACAACTTATCACGACGGCATTCATTCACAACCATTCATAAAAGCTCGGAATAGACGTAGCACTCGGAGAGCATCATTTGCCTCAGCTAAAAGGAAAAACCCTTGCAAATGTCAATTTTTCATCCAAAATCTTCCGTGATTCTGAAGTACGAAGTTCTGAAGTGCCCTCGAAGCAGACAATTTGTCTGAATCCAATCTTTCAAATCCTACTATAACAACGCGCTAAGACGGCCCGTTTTTCTTTGTCTGCGTATGCGCATGTGTGCGCCTGTATGAAAATGTATTTGTTACGTCGTTCTTGAGTCGCAAGAGGAGTCCTAGCCAAGGAACTGAGCTCAGTTTTTGCACAACCAATGCCACCAATATGCAGGGTCCGATACAGATAGTAAGGAAACGAGCTGGACTTCGTTTTTGGGGCGAAAAAGTAAAGGGGGTTTCGTCGTGGCCAAAAAGACGCAAAAACGTTTTTTTAGTCGACGCTTCCTTTTTTAGGGTTTTTTACAGATATGATTTGGGGTCAAAGGAAACTTCGTAAATTTTGGCGAAAGTCAAGGGGACTTCGTTTTCAAAAAGCCTAGAAACGGACTCATGCCGGGCCCTGGCAGCGAAGTCTAACATGCCGAAGAACAAGGGATTCGTTGTGCGCCTTTAAAAATTCCCGCTAAACGGATCCACACAACCTTTAGCCCTGAAAGTGGTTCCGTACTACGACAGTTTGCAAAGTTATGGCTACGCTTAATAAATGCGTTATTTGAACCTTGGCCCAAAAAAATGAGCGAAAGTCTACTTTTATACGAAATCGGTGCCAAAAGGAGTGCTTGCTTAAATGACCGATTTGTCAGGGTTCATGAGAAATCTTTGCTCAGAGATATAGCTTACAGTAGTCATTACCAGGGTCGAGCAAGAGGCGTGGCACACAAGCGCCGGATATGACCCCCATCTCATGTCTACCTCTCTCCCCCCCCCCCTCCACCATTATCGTTCGAAGGTATGACATAAAGGCTCTACCATGCAATTAGGCACATATTCGTAACTACCATGCCAAAAACCCATGGGCCAAGTTTTAGCAAATTCCAAGGCTTCTCAATGTTGAACAAACATGAACTACATTTCAAAAGTGAATTAGCTAATTCTTTTTGTACTCAGTACAAAGGACTACTACTCCCTATTTAGCGATACCATGAATTCTGCTTCAAATAGCCATCAAACTATGGGATTAGAAGCAGGGGAAAGGATATGGTCGTTTTTCCTTCGCAGGGGAGGCGGCAAGAACAAGAATCAATAGCTTGATTCTAGTAACTACAAAAATGATTTCAGCCTGATTGGTCTTCTCTAGTCCGAGAAATTGAAAGCGAAAAATGGGACAAACGAGATTTTGGCTTGCTCTTAATTCCAGGAGTTTGGAGGTTAGTTGAAGTGGAATTCCAGTGTGAGCAAAGAAGTAGTGATGCTTTGTAATGAGTGCAAAAAGAAGTAGATTACTCACCTTTGAAACAAACTCAGCATGTTCGAAAATGATCAACTCACTTGAGTGTCCCAACATTTGAAAACCTTAAAATTCGCTAAAACTTGGTCCGCAGGGGTTATTTGACATGCTAATTATGAAAATGATGATCCTATGCTTTTAGGAATATGCTTACCGAGCGCGTATGATGGTAGGCCAAAACATCAATGCTGGTATCTTACACAATGGACCTATCAGACATTGTTGGCTTACATTATGTAGATAATGTTATCATCACCTCCATAACGACCTCCCTCCTCGTTCTGACCCCTTTACGACCCCCAGATGTCGCGTGTCACACCCTACGCTTGACCCTGGTCATTACCCTTAGGCTCCGAACAGACTTCACGCGATTTGATCGTCGCGACTGAATCGCTACGAGACAACTGTTACAACATCATTCCATGCCGATCAACTTGCATTTCGGTTGTGATACTTTTCCAGCCCGAAATCCTTGATGTGAAATGAAAATGAATGGAAATGTCGGCGATTGAGTCGCGACGATCAAATCGCGTGAAGTCTGTCCGGAGCCTTAGGTACTACTGTGCCATAGTAAGTTCAGTAACTTCAAACTCGCATTTGTTCTTCTGCAGGAAAACATTTTCCTCTTAACCCATTGACGACGACGCCTAATTTTGCATGGCGGCGCTGTGGGACGACGCGATTCTGCACAACAATTGCGGCGCGGGAAAGTTTTGTGATTATTTACAAATTTAAAATGTTTTGTAAACAACCACAGCCATTTCCTTGGACGACGAAGTCTGCAGGTTCCAAGAGTGCAGAAAATTGGGAAAAATGTGAACTCTGCAAGAAATGCTAGACCTGGAAAGGATATGATTGTGCAAGGGGTGTGGGCCACCGGTGCTCCACATCGTCGTCAATGGGTTAAAGTTACCGATTTTACTCAAAATGGAGTACGAAATGAGTAGTTGTTCACATTCATTCATGGTGGCCAGCATCGCATGGTGGATCTCAAGGCTATCTCATGAGAGCAAGAAAGGCACCTAGATGATAGCATCACGAGCCCGAAGCAGAGGTGACGCACTGGTGGTTTATAATAGCGGGCTAAAGGTCGTTTGAGTTTTTTTCATGTGTCTCACGCTCTGTCTGTCACGAAATCCACAGCACGAAGTCTCTGAGCTACGCAATTGCCCAACACGCTACCAACATGTAAGTCATTATGCAAAATTTCGAGAGGATTCTATGCGTGGATCCTTCAGAAGTGGCTGGTCAAACGTCCACATGCCTTAAGCTCGCGGAACTAAGTCCGTGTTCACTTTTTTGCTAGATTGTTTGGTACAAAAAATGCAAGCAGATTTAGCCCAAAAAGTAGTTTAGAAATACATTTTTCTGCAAAAATCTCAAAAAGGTTTAATGGAGTACATCATCAATTTTCCAAGCTTCTATCTAAAAATCTGAGAAAACTTGCTCAAAAATGTAGCTCATAGTCTTCATTGTTTTTTACGGCAAAATGAGCCATAAAAAATTCAGTAATTGACAATTTCGTAGTAGTCTCGTGCAGAAAAGTCTTAACTTCCCAAATTTACCTGAAAAAGCTTTTGAAATGAATATTCGTTCGTGGTAGTCAGCATAACGCCGAGAATTTCGGATTCAGAGGCATAAAAGATAGTAGAGCCAGGAGCTTGACGTGACGCCCTAGTATACTATATGTTAACGGCAATACATAATCCTTCTGCTTTGGTCATGATTTCGGAAGCAAACAAGCTCTTGCATTTGTCGATTCTGTGCATGTAGAACATGAAGAGGCACAACTCAGCACTACTAAACGTTCCATTCTCGTTCGCCAAAGCTTATATTTCTGATATCAGCATTTTACTGACAAGGGAGGGATACTTGGTCTAAGTGGCGTCTCCATATGAAATGTATGTATACTGTCTTATAGAGCATGGAACGCTGATTTCAAATCTACTTTCGGTATCTGCAAAGCGCTTTTGGAAGTGGAGTTCTGAGAGTTTCTGAGGTAAAAATTCAATGATTTGGCTAGGGTAAAAACAGGATCTTTTCGGCGCTGGAAAGAGTAATGACTGACATGAGTTTATTAGACTAAAGATATTATTGTATAAAACGCTCCGCTAGTAATCATGGCCTCATCTCAGTTTACGGACTCAAAGTTCTGAATGATTAAATTATAGCGACGATTTCAAATTTTTGCATCAAAAATCGCCATAACTCCACTCCCAAAAGCGCTTTGCAGATACCGTAAGCAAATTTGAAATCAGCGTTTTATGCTCTATAAGACAGTATACATCTCATACGGAGACGCCACTTCGACCAAGTAACCCTCCCTTGTGAGATCTTAACCGTATTTTGGAAAATACAAATTTGCCTCTGCCCTTCGTTACGATTTACAGTTCTCGAAATTTCTCTTTATACAAAAGCCATCTTCGTAGTCTTCGAGAGGATTTGCTTCATCATACATTGCATCGTTTCACTCACTGACTTTTAAACATGACCAGTGCTCTCCGTGGGAGCAAACAGATATTTATAAAACTTCATTCAACACATGAAAAATAAAAAAAGCATGCAATAACTTTTATCATAGTTCGATATCTCATTTCCAAAAAGAAGTAAAACGGCATTGCACTACAAATCAATCGATACTTACGGGAAATCTTAAAACAAAGAAGTCTGTACACGATAAGCGGGCATAACATGGTACCGATTTGATTCCTATTATCTCAGGCACGATGCAACGCTCCTGTTCAGTTTATATCAATGCAATGCAAACACTATAGCATCGTTACCTTGATCCATTACGAAAATATCACCTAACAGGAAAAAGTCGAAAAACTACCGACTGGAAAAGAATAGGCAAATCAACATTTCGAAACCTCCAAACGAGATCTATAAGCATCGACAACAGAAAAAAATGAATGATAAGGAAGAAACCTGTAAGAAAAACGGCTTGACTGATCCGGTCAGTGACACATACAGGATAAGTTACCCAAATGAAGGAAAAAGAATTGCCTTAGCAAAATAATGTTCAAAAAAGAAACATTTTTTGCCCATCAATTTTTTGTTGCTAATTGTGTACCAACAAATTTTCGCAAACACGAAGGCTTGAAGAAAAAAATGTGTTCCCAGGAGTTTTACCTTTACTTCCTTGGCAGCCCTTCTTGCATAGAATTAAATGAATGTTAGTTCTGAAATCAAAGTCTAGGAATATTTTTGTTACGAAAAATATTCTCATCACAAAAAGAAGTACTGCAAAACGCAGAAACACTACATTAGCGCAATCCGGGCTATGCAATGAACATTTAGGAATGATTTTCAAAGAGAATGATAATATCGCAAAGCGAATTTGCGTGCAAAAGAACGGGAATGCTCAGATGAACGACCAACAACGTGACTGGGATCAAGCAATAAGTGGCATTATATATTCAAACGGGTGTGGTGAAGTTATAAGAGCATAAATTATCTCTAAAGTACAAAACTATCAATGCTCTACCATGAGCTCAAAGAAGCAAATCAATGAAAAGTAACACAGTTCTTAGCGATACCTGAGCAATTATAGAAAACTAGTATACCCTTTGTACTCGACGAAGGAAACCCTTGGTATTTGGCACTGTTCCAAGCGTCTAGTGTGGATGTGTTTGTACAGGACCTTGCAGCGCTTCGAATTTACCTTGTTCTGTGAGCAGATATTCTACAATCTGCCCTTGCATGATCATATTGAAGGCCATGTGGGAATTCGACTGGACAGCAGGTGTATCCTCCTGTAAGACATGTAAAAATTAAAAATCTGCAATTGACGATAGCGGCACAAAAAAAATCCTTTGTTTCCGCCGGGTGCTTTATGTAACTGAACCCAATCTACCACAGAGCGCGACGACGGTAGAAACACAATCATAATTGTAACAAAACCATGGAAGACTAACATAAAGATGATTGCATGAAGTAGAAAAAGGATCCCAAATATTTCGCAGAGGCCGGTACAGACCCGAAAAGTTGTATTCACACAATGCGACCGTTGAAGACTATTCTAGCTTATGAGAGGTTTGGAAACGCCGGAGAAAAAAAAGTCAGAACTCAAACCATTCCTACTCTCTAACAAGTCTAGTGAAGCACTACGGCATCATTCACAAATTGTTGCTAACCTTTTTCTGTTCTTTTTTCTTCTTTCCAGCATCTTTCTTCTTTGCTGGTGTTTTCTCATCCCCACTGTTGAACAAAGTTGGACCGAACATAATAGCGAGATTGTGCGTTTGCATTCGATTCTTGTCCGAATGTGATGCCACTCTGGAAGAAAATGATATATGCAGCTTCTTGATCTGGCACTCTCAACCCAAAAAATACAGAAGATGGAGTAAAATCGATTCCTCCAACTTCTCGAGCTTTGTTCAGAGAATTTACAAAAGTCTAAGTAACCGTTTCACCGGATCTGTGCAAAAATTTGGTGAAGAACACTTTGATTCAAAATATCCGCATAATATTCAAAATGTAGTGGGGGAAAAAGCAATTATATAGAAAGAGGAAAATGGAAAGGGTGTAGCACACTTTAACATGGAAATATGTGTTCGCTACTTACTTCCACAAGAACTTGTCGAAACATATTGAAAATTAATATGAGCCACAATCAAACCTCTGCAGATGTCGCAGTAACATCTTCAAAGTCTCCCGATTTTCCGCTGGTAACATTTTCAGAAGGTCGTCAAAGCGTTTGAACCGTTGTTTGGGATTTTGTAGCTCTGAATGGATAACGACTACACATATCTTTCCTTGAGATCCCTTTTAAAACATCTTTCGCAACAAATGCCGGTCTCAGTCTTTTTTAGCACAAAAGCACACAAACGATCGCAAACATTCGCTTGACCATAAATAGCGCAGTTTCATCGTTTGCTGCTAACATCTGTCGCAATGACGAATACTCGCGTCACCGCCATCTGGATACTTTATCATGCGCGCTTTTCTGCATTTCGTGCGTATTTCAACCACCCTAATTTCACGCGTACAAGGCGCGCGGTATTTTATTCCAAAATCGACCAGCCCAAATAGCCAAAGAACTTCGCAACCAGAGGACCCTATGCCTTGCTGTATATTGCTTAAGAGAACCGTACGGCATAAGGATCGCTTTCCGAGATAATTTAAAGCGGCTGAGGGGCTTAGTCAAAAAATCGAAAAAGGTGTGCTTTGTACGCATGAAATCAGGGTACCATACATCGGCCGTCCCTTAGATTGCCTTTCCATTGAAAAAAAAAACACTCACTGATCGCATTCAAGTAATCCTTCGTTAATGACAAGGGAAAGACCGGCTCAGCCAGCTCGCGGAAAAACAGTTTCAAGGCTCCCGTCAGCACATGTACATCTTCTTCATTTACTAATGCGCCATACTTATCTGCAAAAACGAGAGTTCGAAAAAAGAAAAACTATTAAGGATCTATCCTAAGAAATCCAAAGTGATCCCTCTATAAGAAAAGCCCACCTTGATCAACTTGGCATCTGATTCTTTGTACAGCCGATAAGTTGCCGCTCACTCTGTAAGACATATGCTTAATATCTTTTGAGAAATCTGCTGTTTTACATTACACTGATTTCTTGAACTTGACGGATTAAGCATAGGACTGAGGAAAAATAAAGACGTAAAACATATGAAATTAGAGAACTCAAGACATTCGAAGACGTGAAAAGTAAGGTAAAAAAAGCACAAGCTCACCGATACAATCCATCAATCTCCAGTCCCCTGCTTTCAATCAATTCCGTCACTGTCCTAATAAACTTCGGCACAAGGCTGTTTTCCAATTGACAAATCGCTGACAATGTGCTGCCAAAAACTGGCTCATCTGAACCTAGCATATTCTCAGAACTGTCAACCAATTGGACATGGGATTCCCTTACGTTTGTAAATCCCCTTTTCCTTCAGCGCATCTATACTAGGCCTGCTACGGAAAAATCTGATCAATTTCTCCAAAATCGACTCTCGAGATGGTCTCGGCTCCTCGACAACCCAAGAGTGTGAAGCGTTGTTCGATGCTGGTGCACATTCTATGGCAGAATGCGCCATTTGATCGGACCGTGACGAAACGCTGTGAGCAGCGCGCCGACTTAACAATAACATTGAACAAAAACCAAAGTAAAAATTCATCAAAATGTAACGCAAGCTCACCCGCTAAGCATAGTCGTAGAATGGGGTCTATGTGACAAAGTCGAAGGATTGCGAACGATTGCGCATGAAGAATCCAGCACTGCCGGTTGCATCGGAAGACCAGTGCATTGCGGTGCCGATGGCTGAAGAAAAATATAGGTGCTGGCAATAAAACTCATGAAAATTCCTAGCATTCACCCTAAACCTTATATCTACCAAGCAGAAAACTTTGAAAGCATTTACAACGAATGTGGATTCAATACGTACTTGTAAAGGAGCCGAATAACTGCGCTGAAACAGATGAGCATTTCTTCTGCGTGGCAAAGGTGTCGGAACAGGAGACAAATTCATAGCAATGATAGACTTTAGTGAGTTCTGCTACTGCCGAAAGTTATCACTGTACAGAAAAGGCAACAGCTTGGGTGAAGTAAAAGAGCGACAGTGCCCACCCAAACGAAAACTTGTTCTGGCAAAAAAAAGAAAACCTGTGGCAATTAGCGGATTACAGTCATTATGCCCCAGGCTCAACCTCCACGTACTGTCTTCAATTCTACTTTAATGTTTTAAACGTAAACATCCTTCGCATATGGTATTGTCTGGCTTCATTTTTATGCTTCGACAACTGTTCCTCTTAGTATGTATCCCATCGCATGAGGTAAGCTAATTGTGGTGCAAACCGTGGGCAGGTGGTAGTTTAGACGAGACAGCGCACAAGGTTGCGTCAATTAGATTGTCAAGGTTTTTACTGCGTGGCAAAAAAGACAACAGTGCACCAAACCCGGGAGAACGAAGACACATACTCTCTTCTATCGAATGGAAGTATCTATCTACTATACAAAGTGCATCTCTTTAGTTCGATAATTACTGGTCTTCTAAAGGAGAGAAACTTCATGACTTCCATTGGTTTTTGAAGTGATGACTGTGTAGTGAAAAATAAGAATGAATTAGATTAGAGGGCTACCACAGCGAATAGCTTATGAACCAGCTTATGTTGCTCAAGTAATTATTAAGTGATAGATGAAGCAAGGAGTGACTACTGGTCTCTGGCTGAAAACTATCGAGATTCAGCATGAACTCACAGATAACAACTCTTTTGTAAACAGGACAACCTATACATGGAGTGAAAAAGTAGAACAAACAAATTCCAAAAGCTTACCAATCGTGCGATAACATCTCTCAGAGCGTCGAACCATTCATTCGTATCAGTATCATTCGCAGATCGAAATAAATAGCGACACCCGTGGCTTAGTTCGAGCTATAAACACATAAATGCACTAAAATCAAATTTTTCTTTGTCTAACTCACCTGAATGATCTTCCTCTTCCTTTTCTCTTTCTCAATCACAAGCCAACTGACACTTGCGCCTTTCAAATCGCATACACCTCTTGGGGCAGCATAATGATTACCATGTTTCTGCAAAATTATCATCAGAAACATTACCCGAAACCCCTCAATTTGGGAAAGTCTCAATACGTGAGTAATACATGCACTTCAATTATTGCTTACCTCAGCGCTCTTTTCATCTTTGTATAATATCAGATGAGCTGACGTAAGGTACATGAAGTTCACCATCCAATCTCGTTTGCGCGATTTGATCTGAATGAAGACACAGATATTTCACATTGGTTAGACATCCTTCCTATATTAAGAGTGCTAGAAAATAATGAAACGCATACTATCCACATAAGTTGCCTTATGTCATAAACTTGTTTTCGTTTTTTTTTTTACATCCAAAAGCGATATTTGCATTGCTTATTTGCAGTACTTGTCTCATTTTCGTTCTCACATCAATTATTATGTCAGTTTTTATCAGTGATAACAAAAGCTCTCAGTAATTTTGATGGAAAAACAAAGTCGCTGCACGAACACGAGTTCCGAAGCAGATTCTTCGCAATTAATAACTTGCATAGACTATCAATCACCTGTTCGGCTGACTCAACCAGCTCCAAATTTCCACATTTGATGGTCTTCACAGCTTCTCGTGCTTCACAATGTGTACTGCCTCGGCGATCTCGATCACATGGAGTATCTAAAGCCAATGCTATATGATGCATCTGAGATTTCTATACTACTTTGCAAAAATTGTCTCTTCTTGCACAATAGATTTACAAAATAGAAGGAACTTATAGCGCCTCAAAGAAGAGAGCTTTGAAGAATTACTGTAGCTCAAAAAGTTCGACGTATGTTTATCAACTCTGACATATTTTGCATGTCTCAGTCTATATTTTGAGAGAAACGAAAATAGGGAGATAAAAATGCCCATTTGATTACATTTTTTTTAGTCGATTCCACATAACATAACTGACATATGATTGAAACAGCTTATCATGAGACTTTCGTAGAAGAAAACAGGGTCTCATGACGGAGAAAATAAGCACAAGGAACAAACCATAAATAATTGGCTCCTTCTCGGGTTTTGGATAAACTCTGTCCAACGAATGGGTGCCATTATCATAGAAAAGATTTCCAGAGCTAGTAGAAGGGAGGACCTGCAAAACAAGGAAGATTTAAGGATATGATCAAGCTTCACCTAAATTGTATAATAGACCCTCGTCCTGGTAATCAAAGTCTCAATCTTGTTCCCGTCACTCAACAACATGTCAGAGCAATGACTTATCCTAACGAATAAAATGGCAAAAGTTGGAAAACATCGAAAACAAGTTCCGTTTTTCGTGAGGATGATTTCATAGCTCCTGTTTATCTTCACCCTCCGGACCTATCTGAAGCTCTAGGAAATGAAGTCTTGAGCATTTTCCCAACTAACTGCTAGTTCCAGCGTGCATATCACAAATGGGTAGCTCACCACTGAGTAGATTCAGAGTGCGCGTTAGCACTAAGGCAACAAATAGCCTTCACCCCTGATAAACCATTTGACAGATATTTAGAAGGCACAGATGATTCTAATGTCAACAATATGCAATTTGTACGAGTGGCCGCTGCGACTTTTGACCATTCACCTGCCAGTACCCCTCATAGGTGAAACGCCTGACTGTCTAAGCCTTTTCGACGCGTCCTCAACTGAACACCATGAAAACATCTGCTATCTATTACATGCGGCGAGGTCGTATTTTCGCGCAAATGATGTGGAACGGATTGGAACTCACGCACGAAATGGAATTATTCGACCATAAAAACCCTTTACAACCTTCAAATCAACAAACGCATCTGGCAACTAGATTAGGGAGAAAGGAAAACGGAACAAAATCAAAAGCACACCTGAGGGAGAGGTACGTTCTTTAAGGAGCATTTCCTTTTGTTAAAGGACTGAGATCGCTCCGCTGACGGTGCTTGCGTTACGTGACTGCGTGTGCTGCCCTGGAATCATACAACTCACAAATGTATGAAAGAACTCTGAAAAGTTAAAAAATGGACTCTTATCGAGCAAGCTGAGACAAAAGAGAATTTCAAAACAGGAATGAAATCTCAAGTTATTTTCATAAAAGGTTCTCAAAAAGTAGAATACAACAGTTTCTCTAACTTATCATGCGCAGGGCCTTCTCTTTCAGGGCTTTTTCACCTCTTTAGCGAGACCTCAAAAGCTAACGAAAACATTCAAAAGCAAATGTGTTGTACCAAAATTGATTGATAAATTGACCAATTCACACCTGTTTCAGGCTCAATCCCAGCGGATCTGGTCCCGTGTGCGCATGGAATGATGACATCATAGTCGTGTCGTCGCTGCTCGAAGTCGCGTGGTGATATGTAGCGGTAGGCGGTGAGTTTTTGAAGTCCTTGAAAGTAAGAGCGATCAATGCTAGAATCCCAATGGCTGACAGATTTCGCCCTGATTGTTCTTGAATAATACCTAATGCATGTTTCCTCAAACCGCAAGATTTGACCATGAAAAGCCCCCAAGGAAGCAAAGCTACAGAGGTGGCTTGCTTGACCTTACCGCTCATATTTATACCACGACAAACCGTTACATGAAAAAACCCGAACTGGTCTCTGGTGAGAAAATTAGAACCAAAAGAAAAACGCTACCTGTTCGACCTGCTCTGGAACTGCTCTCCTTTCGGAAGATTCTGCGCATTCTGTCAGTATGGCCTCATCTGATGGTGCGTTACGCGATGACGACGATACGTCCAAGGACGACTCGTCTCCAGTCGAATGCGAGTCTTCGTGTTTCAATGACGTCGTCGAGAAATTTTCGTCAACTTCGGTGCGAGTCGCTTGCAGGATTGCCTAAGATAAAAGAATTCACAAGGAAAGTCATAAAATAAAAGAATCATGGGTCTAAAGACACGTCGACAGTGCATGGCCATGTTACGCAATAGGGGAAACTGCCGATGTTCAGCATTTGAATGTTGAATATTGAGAAGTGCTTCAGCGTCGTTTATGGACGATGACTAAACCCTACGGATACAGCCCTACTGTACATTATTTGCCATTCGTGCACTCTTCAAAGCATGCAAAATCATCAAATTTCACAATGAAACAACGTTAGAGCTGCAAAATTCATGAATATCAGCCCCTACACGGAGAACCCCCGTTCAATACAATATGAAGGACGACAAAAAAGTAGAATGAGTTATCGTTAAAGGTTAACAAATCAATACGCAGTTACATACGCATATTCAAGAAAAAGAAAAGGATAATTACCTGAACTTGTGCTGGCGTACGTATGAATCTTGGTGGAATCCATTGGCTTTTCCCCGTTTCAGAGTTATGGAAATATGTTCTGTAAAGAATTTATTGCGACGATGACAGGTACAGAGTTTTTAGGAGTATAGCCTGCTGTGACTCAACCGCGTTTGCAAATTACCACAAAAAATCAAACTGAAACGATAGCAGAATTCCCAACCTCATAATAAAAAAAAATCAATTTTACAACCATCTGATTTGGAAAATGAATCTTAAGCAACGATTAGAAGTCGGTGACTTCAGCCACTGCACTTAACTGCGTGATAAAGTATGCATCTCATAAAACCAAGACCAAATCTTTCGTTTGACAAAAATTCGTGGAGTAAAAACAAAATAAAAAATGTTTTACCTGCCCGCTTCCGTTTCATACTCCTTCCATCCATTATTGAGGTTCCGACGAGGCACATCTGTCACATCGGGGACCGGTGGAAATGGTCGGTTGTTCAGCTCATCCATCTCACGAATATTCGTGTAGATATGCTCCTCGTCATCATGGTGCGACGAGCTCAGTTCCGGTGACGGCGAGCAACTTGTGATCTAAATTTGAACATTTTAGGAAATTGCGGGTTGCACATGCCGTTGTGAAATTGTATAGTTTAATGTTCAAGTTTCTTTCCTTAGGGACAATCTCTCCAATAATGTTGAATAGTTGGTCTCAAAAGAGACCAAAATTTGCCCCCCCCCCCTTCTCTAGACGAACAAGCACCCCAATTAGCACAAACAACGCGGAACAGGGAAAAGCGCCAAACATAGCAGCGGTCAGCAAACTTCCAAACACTTGAAAACTGCTGATCGTCATCACTTTTGGGCACCCATCGACATCAACAACTGAGCAAACAGTCACATTCCGCTTTTGTTTGAACAGTTCAGTTTGAAAGTGCAAAAAGTGCAGCAAAAGTTTTCCACATGGAAGACAAGCAGAACGGTCATAACATTGCTTGCCAGTCTACATTGTATAAGGGAAGCAAAAGCAATCCTTGTTTTGATTTTGCGAGAGAGCGCCATCAGCACTTGAAAGCTCATAATTTCCCAATCATAATCCAAAATCACATAAACGTTTAGTAAAACGAATAATTTACATTTCTTCCAAAACATGAAAATCGCCAAGACATCATACTTTCGTTGGCACTTCACGCTGCTCTCGCATCAAACCAAAAAAAAAGCAAGCGCAGGATGACTCATTCGCAATAAAGGGTCGTGAAAATGCATTATCGAACATTACAAGAGGAGAAACTGTCAACTGACGAATTGCCAAGCGAAGTTTGGAATCCAAAAAAGCGATTTTGTAGGTTATACGATTATTAACGATGCGAAGCTTCTCTTTTTCGAAGTACACAGCTTACGGAACGATAAACTGCACTACATGACGGAGCCTAGACTTTGAGAATATTCTTTTTCAAAAGTGCAGATGTGTTCGGTCGGCCCTTACTATGAGCTATACTGATAAAAAAAACTAGCACAGTTTTTGAAGTTTGCTTAACTAAAAACGCTTCCTGATGAAAACGCTGAGATGCATTAAATTATCATATACGCATGTCCAATCCTACTCAAACTTTTTGAAGACTGGAGGGACCATTCTCGATATAGGCACTGATTCCACAGCAAAATCCGCTATTTCAATAAAAGACCACACTGAAGTAGGTGCTTTGAAAAGATGCACCATTTCCACAATATCTTTAGAAGAAAATGAAAAAAAAAGAAGAATTATTGTCCCGAAAGAAGTCGAGAATGACCGGATACGAGAAACGTGAACATATAAACAAAATCATGGAAAACCTCGATAAAGCTACTGACCTTTTCATTTGAATTACTTCTTGACTCGGCATCGTAAGTTCCAGAATCTTCCATCTTCAAATCCTCCAAATGATTGCTGGATTGCGTTTCCGAGATATTCTCGTAAATCGTCGACGTCGACGATGCAACATTCGCCACAGTAGCCATCATGGTCACCAAACTGTGCAGATTTTCAACAGAATCATACCTTTTGACCTCCTAAAATAGCCGAATTCACTTAAAACAGATCTGTGCACAGAATATTACGCGATCAGCAATCGATAGCATAACAAACCGCGCCACACCGTGACTCAGTACAGAACAGATAGCAGCAGCAAGAGTGGAGAGAGAGCGAACCGCGCTCCTCCTTCGCTACTCTTTCGAGACGAGATTTTCAAACAACAATGAACGAAAAAAGCATTATAAAGGGCTGAGCAATGCACAGTTCAATCCGCCATGCGAAAATGAAACCGAATGAATCAAAAGGGCAGTGGACGGGAAAGCTTTGATGAAAAGCGGACGCTTTTAGGCAAAAAACAGAAGAAAAAATGTGCCAAACAAAATCGATGGATTGACGGACTGGAATGAATGTGGAAGATATATCATAATAGAGACGATTAATGCATGAATTGAATTCATAATTGCCTCATGATGCGATAAACAAAAACTAAACGAAATAAAAAGTGACAGCATAAAAACTACAGCGCATAAATTTCGAAACGACTAAATATCCAAGTTCGGATTGCAGTCACCAGTGAAGGCAAAGCCATTCCGTCAAAAAATATTTACGATCAAAACTCAACAAAAGAAGCCGAGTGTTTGCTCAAGAAAACTAGAAACCAAGGAGGGAAGGCAAAAATATCACAAAAGTCGATGCAAAGAAAAAAAAGCGTTCCAGGATTCTCATAGCATCATATATGGAATTGGCTAGGAAGCCTATACACATCTTTTGACAAGGAATGACGCGATCCTTATCACTCACCAGCTAAGACGAAAATAAAAAGTGCAGCTTAGAAAAGATGAGTAAGAATAAGACACAAAATCTGATAAAGCTGTCAAAACAACTAATGCTGCGGTATGAAATCAGATTTTGGCGACGTCCAGCTGCAGGGATTTGCGGAAATCAATAGGGAAGAAGCAGCAAGAAAAAGTAGCACCTATAAGGGACAAAAAGCATGATTGAAGAAAAAGGAAGAAGGACAGAGTCTATGAAGGATGTACCATTACTGAAATACACAACAGGTGACGCAAAGAATCACGTAAATCTTCACTGCTCCCCAATCCCATTTTTTGTTGCAAGGAAAAAAAGCAAATACCAGATAGACGTGGCTAAAAAAGTGAGTAAAGTCCTCTTAGCTCTAACAAAGCCTAACCGTCACGAAGTCACGCTCACTACAAAAAAAAAAAGCAGGAAAGAAGCAGAGAAAAGAGAAAAAAATGGACGAACTGTGAAGTGCTTTGTTATGACAGACAGCCGAAATTTGACACACAGAAAACTATCCAAAAATGAAGGAAACATAAAGGATAAAAACATAACAACCACTCCTTATTTCCAGAAACAATTTTTTCGAAATAAAAAAGTCAGATGTTAGAGAAAATCCTGTTGCAGAAAATCTAGGCAAAACATTACAAAATTTTCGAATTGTGAGGACAGAAAAACAAATTGTAGAAAAATGTACCAAATTTTGACCTTCATCAAACATTGTGCGATTGAGTTGCAAATTAATGAAACTACCAAACAAAAGCTCTACAAGAACTCGCAAAATATTGGAGGACTACTCACGATCACATGAAAATCTCCTTTTCTATGTAAAACTCCTACTCATCCATTGGCAAATCAGCGCACGACCGTATTTCCACAGTCAACACAAATCGTATTATGCAAATGTGCACCGAAACGACACCAAAATCTCTACGACTTCACTTGAACAACGTTCATAATGTTTGTAAAAAAATCAATAACGCTGCAAGAATATTTGTTCGCCGTAGTCTATGCTAAGAACACGATGAGCCCATAGCAACAGATGAACGATGAGCACAGTCGCGGTCATTCATGAGTTCTGAAGTGGGTAAAAATGAGCTTATGAGAGGAGACAAGAAGAAGGAAGTATCATGCAGGTCTGTCCGCAAAGCAGCTGGCTGCTTGAGCAAGAATGAACGTTAGCGTTCGATCTTGCAACGAAAATAGACAAAAAAGTAAAGAATAGAGTTGTTGTTTTTTTCTTTGCGAGAAACGCTCCCTAATCAGATACGTTGTTTCGATACAGCACTTGTGTTCTGGAAATCATAAACAAGTTTCAGACCACAAGGTGGACTGGCCACGAGTCAGATACAATGCTTCAGTTCTTTTGGCAGTTTTATCTGCCGACCAAAAAGCGATATCAGACATGTGAGATTTGCAATTTCAAACAAAACTTTCAACAACACCGAAGATTAGATGGGAGAGGAAAGGAGAAAAATGGAGTTTTGCAGTTTCGCAGCGCGCTTTGGCAGTTGGCCAAGCACGGGTCAGTGGGCGGAGCTTGAGCCGAGACGCGTGCTTGGCCCTTGGATGACCATTCCGGTCTTTCGTCAGCTGAGGGAAGGCGGCTCTAGTTATCGTCTTTCCCAAGAAGAAGAGCTATTAATGGTCAATTCTACGAAAAAAGCAGCTTCAATTTATTGGAATCTACGAACAAGCTGAGGAGTTAGTGAGTTTGTTTGTGCTATTGCATTGTTGAATGAGTGAAACATCGTCTCAAGAACGAATTGAAAGAAAAACTTGTGGAGTTAGGTTATAATTTACGATTTTAGGTACATCATAGTAATATCATGGGGTCTGACCTTATAATGCCCGCTTTACTCTAGTCAGATTAGCATGACCTTACTGTTTTGCCATTCTCGGAAAGGAATATTGTTTTCAATGAGCTCGGATACGTGGACGTACAGGTGAGCTCGGATACGTGGATGGACAGGGCCTCTGACTTCCATGACAGGATATCTTTGATATGTTCATATAAGGCAGAGTCATAGGATAGCACTTAGCAACAGTTCATTGGCATTATTCCGATCTACTGGATTTCGAATCTCCAACAAATGATGCGACAACCTCAGAATTACGGGTGTCTTTGCTCATCCAATGTTTTATCGGCTGAGCCTCTGCACAGGTCAGTTGTAGTGTTAAGTAGGTCATGCCCTAAGCTAGGCGATTGCGCTTGACCGCAGTGAGGGCTTTCTTCCAACTGTTTTGTTCACATATAGGTTGCCCTTCGCCCTGGATATGCCGGGGTATTAAGCTAAGAACTCCCTATTCGCCTACTAGTTGAAAACGTAGCTGATCTCGGAAGGGACTGCAATCATGCTAAAGTTGTTTCTGAAGCGTTTTGCAGACTCCAATGACAGCATAAGTGGCAAGCGGTTCGGATTATAATTTTTGAGGTCTAGGTTCCAATTCTTGTCTCGGCATTTTTTGATATCGGGATGCACTAGGGTACCAGTGGCGCCCTCACTACGAAATTTCATCGATTTCTCAGTATCTGAACCACAAATAGTTGATACCATCTACCGTAACATCTCATAAACCGAACGTCGGACGCTAAACCAAATTTCGGCTGAATTCGTATACCAGTTGTAGACGCTGAGCCACTGCAATTGTGCTGCCTCCGTGCTAAAAACAGTCGAATCCCCTAAAACCTAAGCGCTGAGCTGACGGTTCTCTAGCTAATAGTTGAGCGACTTTAGTGTTAAAGTCTACGTCTGATCGTGTCGATAGATACCAGGTCCTACGCTGAAGAGTGATGCTGGATCCTGTTCCATTATTTTTATATAAGCCGGCTCCCGTGCCGAGTAGTAATTAGCCGAGTAGTGATAGGCGCTCGGTAACAGTGCATGAGACTGAGCTGTCTTTTTGCCGGCTTCTGAGCCGTGTATTCCTGGATACCGTTCCAGACGCTAAATGTAGTTGAAGTGAAAGCGGCTCCCGTGCCATAGGAGGCTGGATCTCGTTCCAGAGACTCTGCTAGGCTTATACGTTTTCATAGCAAATTGCGTAGTGGAATTGTATCAGAATCAATAGTAGCATGTCGACTCACATGCCTATTAGTAATTCAATACTGATTTCGAGACTAGGTTGTCTTCGGCCTGCTTCCGTTCTAGAAAAGTGTTCCAGTCTGTTTGAACAAGTCTAGAATAATGGTAGTGCCACCGGCTTTCATGCCAAATAGTCATTAGGTCAGGTTCAGATGTTTGGCCGTAGATTCGCTGGATTTCTTACGAATGGTGACTCTAGTCGCTTTGAAGTGGGAGTTGCTTACGCCAGGATAAGAGCATTGATGAGAATTTTACTCCTGAGTTGGCGTGGATCAACGCCGAGCAGAGAGGTGAGCCCTGTATACCGTTCCAGTTGAAAATAGTCATAACGAGTTGTATGCCGCCGGCTGGTATTAGAACAGTGCTACCTATCGTTTGATTTTGAGAAGTGATTTCTTGTTGTATCGAGGCAGATACTGCGCCGCCTGCGGAGGATGAATGGATACTTTTCCAAAAGTTGACATAAGCGGCTTCAGTGTGGCAGAAGCTTACTTTGTAGACTGCCGATTCTGCGGAATCGAGGACTATGAATAGACTTTCTCTCATTGCAGTCTAACATGCCACTTACATCGAGCTGCTGACTCAAGTCTGGTAGCTGTTTTTTGTTGGAATGTTTAGTGTTCAACAAGCTTGCAGATTCTTCTAGGTGCAGGGTGATTTCTTCCTGACTCAGGCGTCTTTTCATCTTATTGGATAACTGGCCTCGAAAAGGTTTCGTTCCTGACGCAGTCTTTGTCCACTGAAGCAGCAGCTTGAGTGAGGCCTCTTGCGGAGAATTTTTTGCTCCAATCAATTTCAAGCAAAAGTTAGCTATCACAACTAATGTAGTTGTTGTAATCGAAAGGACTTTGCACATGGGAGGAAGCCTAGTAGATCCTTATGGAATAGAAGTGAGGTTAATTCTCTCACATATGAATGATCTTTTGCGGAATATGGTTACTCATCGTTTCAAGGGACTAACGAATGATAAGCAACGGATTTTTACACGCTTACAAGCGTCTGTAAGCTGAATTTCACTTGACAGTCATAGAGATTCATTGCGATATGTGCAATTGGTCGCAGCATGTTGGACATACATGGGACCTCGCTTGCCCTCAGCATCAGGGATGAAAATGTAAGTCCTGATATCTCTTGGACGAGATCTAGTTTTCGGATGCCGATGTAGTTCGCGATTGTTGGTCCATATATTGTCTATTTCGGAGTGAAAAGTGTCGCGCGCATTCTTGAGGAAGGTTTTCATGCCACATGGACCAGACATCAACCAATTCATGCTTCAACTTCAGTGAGAGCGTATTCTATAATACTGTTTCTCTCTCTCTCTGCTAAAGTCACCGGCTGTATACAGAGTGACCTATATTGCCCTTCCATGCTGGCTTACGGTAAGCGACCGCTTTGGGCATTTGAGTAGTAGCGATCTTTTACATATAGCGCTAGGAATTTTCAGAAGCGATTCGAAACCATTTAGGTAATTTTTGATACAAACTCGTTTTCAGGGTAATAAGTGGGAAATCAGGAGCCAGAAAGAGTTTCACGCGATAGGCTACGGCGAACGGCCATGCGCAGTGTATGAGAGTGGGCACGATTACGGCGCAGCGCGGATGTGCAGCTACGTTCGGGGTTTCCGCTATAGTTTGTCTTTCTGTACGTCCACTCTCAAGCTTCCAGGGCAGCATATAGCGGTTGGTTTACTCAATCTTGTCTCGGCCTTTTACATACACCCCCGGATTCAACCCCCGGGCTTTAATGTTCCATATCGTTCTCGTTGCGAAATGCAAAACAGAGGTTTTGCCGTAGAATATCGGAGGCAAAAATGGAGTTTTGCAGTTTCGCAGCGCGCTTTGGCAGTTGGCCAAGCACGGGTCAGTGGGCGGAGCTTGAGCCGAGACGCGTGCTTGGCCCTTGGATGACCATTCCGGTCTTTCGTCAGCTGAGGGCCCACCCACCCGCCCTTATCGAGGCCGCTCAGCTGCTATGGACTCTAAATAAGGTCCTCTCGAGGACCAGGATGTAATTTCAGGTTCTCACAGTCCGCAGAAGCAAGGGAGTGGAACATAAATGGTGGATGTAAGGGTGCAACATGAGGAACACGAAGCACATGGTACGGTTTCCCACCACTTCTCGTCACTGGGAAGTGCTTCACATGGAGATGGGCAGCGATGGCATCTATCGTTATGGGCAACATTTCGAGCTGGACTAGGTCACCCGCAAGCATCAATGTCACATCCTCGTTATTCTGTCATTTGAGAGATTAGTGCAGCAGTCGCTGTATATCTACGAGAGTAGATATACATATCTTAGTGATAGTGTTGTATAAGTTCGCTCATATTTGGTGTATTAGAAAACTTCTGTATGTAGTTTTACTTGTCGTGCGTAGCGCCCGGTTTATGGAGCAGATAACTCGCACCTTCTTGATCGGTAGCCATCATGGCTTGTTGTTTAGCTGCATTGCATCTGTTTTGTTTCACAGTTGTTGGTTTGTGTGGGGAGCGTTCCCCAGTGACTGTACGTAAAGCTGACGAATGAACCTTCATCCATATCGTTCTCGTTGCGAAATGCAAAACAGAGGTTTTGCCGTAGAATATCGGAGGCAAAATACAGAATTATCAATTTCAACCGAAGGAGAAAATACAGAATTATCAATTTCAACCGAAGGATGATTGAGATCGAAATATGAGTCCCATGGTTTTAAAACAAATGTTCGACACTATACAAAGAAGATGTGTTGGATTAAAATATAGAAAAAACACAAGAAAAGGAAAACTCCAGGCAGTTTATAGTTAAAGTCAAATTGCTGGTTACAGAATATAATGCTAAATCTATGCAACCTCTAGGAGGAATTCTCTTTGTTCAAAGTAAGCAAAATAAAACGAAGCTTTTAAGAATGAGAGAATAGAATCGCAGAAACAATTAGAAACGAGACCCTACCTATATATGAAATTTGAGCAAAACCCCAATCTTGAGATTTGGAGCTCAAACAGTGGACAGCAGAAGTTTCTTGGCCTAAAAAACCTGAAACAACTGACACTGATAAGTGAGTTGTTCCATTTCGGAACTCAAAAGTAGGACAAAGATACGCGCTGATCATTCACGGCCTTTTCTTTCGTGATCATCAATCATTTGCAAGTAATGCAATTGTTGGAAACTAGAGCAGAAGTATAACGCTTTCAAATGGAAGACACAAGAAGAAAAACGTTTCATCCAGAAAAGTTGTTCGAAACAGATGAAAAGCTCGAGCCGGTTGCAAATTGATTTATAATTAACGAGCGAGCAGATTTTCTCATTAGGACAGCGTATCGATCATTTTTCAGGGAAAACATATGCGGCTGTACATGTTATTACCCGTATCCAACAGGTTTCTCGCTTTTTGTACAAGTTCATATGTATACGAACATGTACGAACACGTCAGTTATTATACTAAAAGTACAACCGGTACGACCGCGCCGCTTCATATACGAGTACATGGCTCTCATCGATAAACCGGCTGCAGACGTAAAGCTGTCGTAAAACCTAATAATCTTCAAGAAGGTACATAATCACTTGAGCTGATTCTAATCTAGCCAAAGGAATGTAGAGTTTGTTGGCTAAATGTGGGTGTGTTTATGCGGTTGCCAGTAATTTTCCGTGAACAATGCACACGCAAGAGCTAATAACGCAAAAAAGATCATTTGACGTGTTCACGGCTAAAGACGAAAATAGAATAGCAGCATCCTGCGAATGCCAATTCAATGCTCTTGTATTGTGTGTCGATTCAAAGGAGCCAGAAAAAGCATAGAAATCGATTTTTAACCAAGAGAAACACATATCCAATTCAAGCAAAGTTTACGCAGAAACGGAGATTTTGGAATTTTGGGACTGAGAATCTGAAATCATGCCATTTGTAGATATGCAAAGGTGCAGTCATAACTTACACCTCTCCCTGATGATCCCATACGCCACAACTCAGAAGCATTGGCAGCCGCAAAGCTGCCATCGGTGCAAATGAGTTTTAATTCAACGGCTTGCGGAAAAAGAAGATTCAAACGCGCACAGCGCTGAAACATGAATTCAGAAATGGTCCCCATATTTCTAGAGAGCCTTAAAGTTGCTACAAAATATACTGTAGTGAATTTGTGTCTTCAGGTGTACATCCAGAAATTCCACTTTGTTGTTCTCTTCAAGCAAAACGCGCGAACAAGTGTGTAGACCAGTAAACCTGACGTTTAACATAGTGTGTATGACGTGACAACATTCGACGGCAACATTTGCGCGTGAACCAGTGGCGACGCGTGCAATGTCGGCAACTTGCGCGTCAGAAATGACCACCGAGCGCGCATTCTCGAATCTGATGTTGCCCGCAAATGTTGGCAAAGACACGCAAAGACGCCGTATCAAGGGTGTGCAATCTACAAGCCCATAAATCTCGACAATTTTTGCTATCAAAACCGTAACAACAACTACCGACTAATACGTCGTAAGGTGCCGTGCGCGGTATGCAAATCTACACGTTAACTTGCAAATGAGTACACTATGAACAATGCGAAATGCTGCTTTCTATTTCATACAAAGGCCCTTTCGAAGGGAAACTTCCAGAACGGAATGTTATTATAAAAGTACAAAGGAGCAACAACAAGGGCACTCAAAAGCAATAATAGCGTCAACATTCTACACCTATTCGCGCAGTCTATGAAGGACCGCTTTAGCCCTATATGCGTACAGCAAACACTACGGAGGCACTAATGAGGTCGGATCGATTTCGGTGCAACGTCTGTACAGTCGTCGACGGACATGTGAACACGGACGACAGCAACGTTGCTGGTTTTATTGGGCATGTAGCAATCGATTTCGTTCATGTAATTAGATAGCTAGGATCGATAAACTGGTTTCTGGATTCTTTTCATAGCAGACAAATCCTTGGCGAGCAAGTTGCAGCGGTGATATAATGTCGCAGATGGGAGATAAACATGAATTTCCAAAAAAATCGATGGATCTTAACATTATGGGTTCATATCGTTGAAAGATTTGTAACTTAGTAAGCTTACTGCACAAAGCGCGCGCTATCTCACGACTTCTCTAGTCAAGAACCTGCAATAATTCAGAGTTTCTCCTCGTTTCCTTCCCTTTTTCAGCTTGATGGACGAATATGAACTCGTAGTACAAAATTTGCAATTTTGTGCACCAAAAAAACCTTTACCGGCGAGTTATTGATACAATGTCGTCGGATCCCGCGCGCAGTGTGCACGCTCACATATCAAGTCACAGGTGACTCGCGCAAACTATCCGAGTAAAAACTCTTGCAATCAGGATACTAGAAGCACATCGAGCAAATTATGCTTTGCAGCACGCGTCAAACTAGTTTGAGCAGATAATCATCTTCATCAAGATCTCATATGCTGCATTGTTATTTATGGCAAAAAAGTATAGAATGCATGTCTCGCACCACGTCTTTTTGCTCGTCCTGCATATGCAGAAGCACGTCGCCGTCAGAAACGCGCTGCATCTGCAGCGCGGCTCGATTAATATCAGCAGCTATGCCATTTTATGAACTAAATTATCCATTATTTTCGTAGTTTTCTTGCTTTAGTAAATACAGGACACATGAAAAAGCTGGTGAAGTATAGGCTGCTACATGACGAAGGCGCAATACCTCTGGGCGCGAACGCGGTCTCATTAGCCGCAGAGCGCAGGAGTCACAACGGTGAAGATACGGGCGCGCAGCGTTCGCGCCCGCTCAACTAATACTGCACCTTCGTCATGCAGCAGCCTTCAGTATAAAAACTAGGCTAAAGAGTGGATTTATATATGCATAGTAGATAAAACACTATATAGTGTTCCTGCGGTGATGACAACGTTTGCGCGAAAAGAAATGCCTCCGAGTGCCGGTACATGTTCACAAAATGGAGGTAAAAAATGACCATAGAGCGCACATTGTCAATAATTACGCGCAAATGCTGTAAGCAACGCAAGAACACTACATTAGCCGTCATACAACTACGCTATAAACATAAGAGCAGAGAATTAGGGGAAAAGAAGCATCTTTGTGCATAGTCAAGGATGAAATAAACTCAAGTGTGAGAGAGTTTGAGAAACAATCTTCTTCTCCAGCAAAAGCGACTGTAAGGAATTGAGGACAAACCGGAGTTTGCAAATGTGTATACAGTAGCATAACCGGTAGAAAGCTGTAGAAAGTTGCAAACAGCGTAGCTAAGAAAAGAGTTGGTTTTGGAAGAACTATCTAGGCAATCCATGTTGAGCTTAAACAATGCGGATGTGTACAGTAAAGGAACAGGAACTAGATTTGGAACAGAAAATGCTCGTTTGAGAAAATAAAAAGGGCCAGATGCTTTGAGCAAATTGGGAGCGTAACATCCATAGACGACAAGGCGAAGTTAGCGGAAGCAAATAGATAGATAAGGGATGCACGATGCTTCAAGAAACCATGTTGGTGCAATAATGAAAAAAAAATATTTGTCGTAAGGGATTCTTACTGGAATAATCAACATGAAAGCAGGAAATTCTTTGGAGCACTTTTCTGCCCTTGATCAAATACAATTTGCAAATTCTTCGAGTCACGATAAAGTGACGAGGTCTAGAGAGCTATTAGGTAGAATTGAAAGTTGTCCCACCATAAAAATTCATAACTTCTGATTTTCCCAAGCCAACTGCTTGTTCTTATTTTTGTTTGAAACTATACAACGTGCCCTTCATAATAATATTTTAGCGGCATTTTACCGAGCATACATTGCATGAATAGAAGCGGTAGAAGAGGATTGCTTAGAATTTGATTTTCCTGACTTTGGTCATAAAAAATCTAAAACTTGCAATGAAAATCTGAGGAGTCCGCTTTGTAGTTTATTACCTGCTCTTCCTAGCTAGGCAAAGGTTGTGCTGATTGAACGTCTCTATAGTAAGTCAAGATGATCTCCAAGCAATTGATACAAAACAACAAATTAAATTCATTTTTTTGTATCTTTTCGAAAATCAAAATCACAACTTTACATAGAGACGTTCAACCAGCACAAGCTTCGCTTAGGTAGAAGGAATAGGTGATAAAAACCATAATATTGACTTTTACGATTTTCATTGCAATTCGGATTTTTTGCGAACGAACTTGGGAAAATTAAAATCTGTAATTTTCTTCTACCGCTTCTATCTATACAATTTATGCCTAACAGAAAGCCACTGAAACACATTATAAAGAGCATAATTTAGTTTTTCAAACAAAAGTCAAAGCAAACAAAAAAATTTGATGAGGAGTTCCAGGATTACGAATTTTTGAAAATGGTGCGACAGAACAACTTTCGTTACAACCTAATGCGAGTGGAAGGCATGGTATACAGCTCTTTAAGATTCCCGCGTCCCTCAGAGTTAGCTCAACCCTTTCGAAAGTCAACAGAAACAAAGCATACAGACAAGAAAAGCTGTAAAAATGTCATAGGGTACACAGAATATTCTTCAGCTGATAGCAGGACCTCCAAATGAATGTCAGAAGCATGATAAGGAGATTTCAAAGACAAAGAAACTGTACAAAAAATCGCTTATCTGAGACGATA